CTGAAGCAGCTACCTGCTGGGTTGGGGCGAGGGGGGCGGGGGTGTAGTTTGTTTGTTTTTAATCTAGGCCAGAGGTTGGCAACATATGCTTACAAAGTGAAGGGGCTTTGGTGGCATGGCAGCAGCCGGGGACTTCACCCATGCCCGTGCCACAGCCAGCCAGTGAGGAACTGTGCCAGTGCTGCACTTAGGGAGTGGGAAGAAGATGGCGGTGGCCAGGCTAGGACACCTGTCTACCTTGGATGGGAGCCAGGTTGTTCTGGCCCATTACAAAACATTGTTGGTCACCCATGTATACACTTCCACTCTTGCTGGCAGCTCCTTTGAATCACATAACCCAGATCAAGCACCTTTGCTGGACATTCATCAGTGCTGGGTCTCAATCCAGTGAGCCCATACATTGTTATTTTGCCTCATTTTCAGCAGACTGCAGTGTTGCTCCTACCTTTGGCCTCACCAGGATCTCTCACACGCAGGTTCTGTTACCCTCTTACAGGAACAGGGTCCCATAGCCTGGCTCCCCTAAGCTCCCCCGAGGGCACTGCTTACTCTCCTGTCTTCCCTTTCTCCCCAAAGCCTTAGTCACTTAAGCAAGCCCTTTTCCAGAGCTCCACTTTGTGGGTATTTGGGGTTTACAGTTTAACCCGAGGAACACAGGATAGTGAAAAACAGAGAGAAACATATCTCTGCCAGGGGTTCTGAATCAAGTTCCTCATTACTTAGATAGCACAACTATCATACAGACCTGAGCAAAATACTCACACCTTTACCCGAATCCCTTCCTCCATCTCTACCCTTTCTTTGAACCTATGGTAGAAACCGTCAAGAAAGCCAGCATCCGTCCTTCCTTCATGCAGCATTTCCTTTGAATTAGAGCCCCTACTCCAAGCCAGCCTCCCTGAACAATGACTGTGTGCTTAGAGGCTCCAGCTGCCTTGTTAGGCGACTCTTGCTTTGCCTCATGGAGGTGAAAACAAGTCCCCTAACAGATTATCTGTTCATTAGTTACCCTTCTCCTAGAGTTCAAACTTGAAAAGCTAATTTGCCTTGGGGAGCAGCCATTTCTTTACCAGGAGAGAGTCATTTAAGTGGATGAGTTGTCAAACAATAGCATGACAGTGCCAGCTGGAATCTTAGTCCAATATGCCTATGAGTAGACGAGGTAGGAAGTTAAGGCAAACGCCAGCTTCAATCAAAATGGACACATAGACAAAGATTACAATCGCCAACAGAGCTGATAAGCTGTGCTTAAACTCCCCAAACTAATCGTATCATCAGTTACAAGTTTAGGCAAATAAACAGCTGGAGCTGGACAGTGTTTCAGCATTAATAAAGCCAGATGGCATTGCATTATCTGTAACTTTCACACTTTGAAACGAGAAAGAACAAGCTTGATCTTAGAGATGCAGAAGCATCTGTCTGTCATCCTCTAGCATGTATATGAAAGGAGTCATTCAAATCAATACCACCCACTTCTGCCAGGCCTTCCACGTAGCTTTAGGAGGAACCTTTGTCTTGAAAAATAATGTGATGCCCTTGAATTTGTCATCCATCTTTGTTCTTCCAGCTGCCTCTACTTTGCTCTGAATTAAAAAGATCACAAATACAGTTGAGTAGGTGACAGTTAATGTTAAAAACTGTTTTCAGCTCTGAAGCCCTATCTTCATTCTTTACAGACTTGGCAACATATTGCTGGAGAAATGCATTGAGAGCTGCGTGGTCACGAAACAGAAGAAATGAGGTGGCACAGTCCCTACTCTTGAGGAGCTCACAGAGAAAGCATCTAAAGCAGAGAAGGACGAAGTGCAGTCTGAATGTTATTTTAAGATGTTCCTGTTTAATATATAAGTAGTTTGCATATTCAAAGGTTGCTACTCATGCTTAAACTGGGAAGATCTACATTTCATCAACAATATTCCAGGAGTAGGAATAGGCCAACAGGTGGACAACTCCTTATGCATTGCTCTCAGCAGAAGCACCCATGTCACGAGTTTTGCCTGGCAGCAGCTAGAGGTGCAGGGCCCCAGAACCCCGAACCCCTGCACCGATCTCTTTGAAAGCTGGCAGGCTTCGTGGCCACAGCAGGGGCTAGCAGGCCTACAGCTTTCACCCTGTGCCTTAACACACACAGGGTCATCTATGTCACGAATTTTGCCTGTCAGCAGCTTGAGGGGCAGTTCCCCCCAAACGCCTGCACCAATCTCCTTGAAACTTGGCAGGCTTTGTGGCCTCACCAGGGGCCACCACCCCTGCAGTTTTCAGCCCCCTGTGGTGTAACAGATACACGCAGCATGAGTTTTGCTTTCAAGAATTTGGGGTGCAGGTCTCCCCAAACCCCTGCACCTATCTTCTTGAAACTTTGCAGGATTCATGCTCTCAGCAGAGGCTACCACCCCTGCAAGTTTCATTCAAATCAGACAAAAACCCACAAAGTTATAGATATTTCATTGATTCCCCATTATACCCTATGGCCAGATCTCCGAAGTGGCTCCGGAGGTTCGGAGCTGCTTCGGCCAAATCGAAGCAGGAAACCAATCCGGAGCTCCGGATCAGATCGCTGGCATCTGAAGCAGCCAGATCCAAAGCCGAATTGAATAGCTGCTTATTCGCACAGGCCTAATGTCCAGCATTTTCTTTCAGCACCCTAACCACAAGACCACTACAACGCTCTAAAATTGTGCACGTTTCAGTAGCAGGCCATGAGAACTTTTATGCAATTATCTATACAGAGACAAACAAAGAGATACCCTGAAAGACCAACCCTCTACAAGCTCTACAAAAACTTTACAAGCTAAAGCTAATGACGAACTTGGAGGAGTGGGGATAGTCGATTTTTCTTCTTAATGCCTCAATTCTAGTTACTGGAATCGAGAAGTTACAAGTCAGCTTTCATTTAAGAGGGTAAGGTCTCTTAGTTTTCAGGAAAACCTTGAAAATCTGACCTATGCATGTCCTTAAAGGCTGAAGCTGGAAAAGAAAAGAAAAGAAATGGTTTTTCAGTCTCATGCTTTTAAGCAAATTTCATAGTTTCTAACGGGGGAGGGCAATACAGTTCAAGATCAAAACAGGATACTGGCAAAACAGACCAGAATCCAGGCATCAGAAGTGCCTTACTATATAGGTTGTTGTGGCTTTAGTAATAAAGCAAATCTCTTCGAGTTCTAATGGATGACAATATGATTGACCGTAAACCAGTAGACTCTATAGTTTTAGGTAAGGTTTATCATAGAAGCATAGAAAATGAGGGTTAGAAGGCACCTCAGGTCACATCTAGTCCAACCCCCTGCTCAAAGCAGGACCAGCCCCAACCAGATCATCATTGTTGAGCTGGGCCTTAAAAACCTCCAAGGATGGAGATTCCACAGTCTCTCTGGGTAGCCTGTTCCAGTGCTTTACTACCCTCCTCATGTGAAAGCTTTTTCTAATATAATAAAAGCCATGTTATCGAGCACTTTACTATCCAGAATGCTCTATTAACCAGCAACTGTCCCACCGTGGCACTTCGAGTTTCGCCACCGCAAGCAGAGTCCCACTTCTTCCTCGTGCACCACGGCCTGGGGCAAAGCAGCCTGCGTGGGACCCTCATCCCTGTCCACCGGCACACTGACACCAGGGAGTGAAAGCCCTGGCTCACTGGATGCAGCTGGAGGGGCAGTGGCCCGAACAGGCAAAGACGCCTCCAACCCACCGGGCTGGAGAGAAGTATAACTCTGAGATAACTGGCATATTTGATAACTGGCACCCCCCATTCTCCATGGATGCCGGATAACAGAGTTTTTACTGTATCTAACCTAAACTTCCCTTGCTGCAATGTGAGACCATTTCTCCTTGTTTCTATTAGTCTCACCCCAAAGCAATTCCATTTTCCATTCATACTTTGTTCCGTCACTTACAGGCCAATTTCCACAGTATAGAAAATGCTTGTGTGACAGTCCTTGCGTGCCACAAGCATTCTTCACAGAGAAGTCTGGGCAAGCCTTGGCACATTGTGAAGAAGAGCAGAACAGCTGTGGAATAAACCTCAGAAGGCATACAAACTGAGAGACAAGAGAAGACTGAGAAAGTTAATCAGAGACTAGCAAAAGAATTTCAATGAAGTATGGGCAGACAGGCATCCTGAATGCAGGGAGTAGCTCTAGCAGAAGACAGAGCTTGTACCAAAGATCATATTAAGATTTTTTACTACAAATCAGAAAAAAAATGACTTTCCTACAGATGATGGGACAGCCTTGCATGCAGGCAACTCAACAGGTCCATGGATACTGTTGGTAGGTTCCTTGTATGCCAATTAGGGACAGGCGCCAAAAAGTCTACAATCAGGGTTATTGTAGTGTTGTTCAAGGCAAAGTGAGCAATATCACTAAAGCTGAAAGAGAACAAATAAAAAGAATCCACAGTAATGAGACACTGGAATTAGGTCACATACTTGACCCAAGTTTCAGACAGATCATAAATGCAGTTTGTGATGGCAGAAACATTCTTTTACCCGGACAGCCTCTTATCTAGCTCAGAAAAAGCAACCATTCTGACCTAGCACTTGATGCCATTTGGATTTTCAGTGAAAAAAGGCTTGTTTCTACTCCAGATAAGAATTCTAAAGTCTCCCATCATACAACATAGATGGAAAATGAGACTCAGAAGTTCCGAGACCACATAAAAATTTTAATTCTATTTTAAGTCTGACTGCTGTCTAATATATGCCTAGATAACCTCATTGTGAGAATTCTGTTACTTCGATTCCTTTTCAGTTTCAGAATTCAGTTCTCTCCCTTTTACCGGTGAGAATAAGACACGTACACTTATCTCGCATTGGAATTTCTTCCGAATGCTGCATTATTTTAATCCCACTCTGTGCAGGGGCTACAAAGAAGACTGAAGGAATCAGAGCAACTCTGCTAGTGCGTTTGTATGTTCAGACTTCAGGCAAGTTCTCTTCAAGGAGGTAATTCATTAAAATTGCACATGCATGTGTGTAAATATACATGATATCAAACATTAACAAAACCACCATCATGAGAATTAAAACTTTTATTAGTGTATTCACATATTAGGCAAATGCAACACGCATGAAGCTTATTTCTTAGGTTCACAAGTTCTACCAATGCATTAGTCTACTGGTAAAACTAGCACAAACTGGTAACTGCTTTGCCAATTTTAAAAAATTATCTGGCCCACTTTTTCAAGGCTTAATTTTTGGTATTGCTTCTATGCCGTATTTGTTATGTATGGCATAAAAATATCCATCACTATCTTTAATTCAGTCAATGGATTAAAAGTTGTAACACTGGCCACATTTTTGTTCTCAAAGCTAAGTTATCACTAGCTGTACTTACAAAGTACAGTACTAGTGTAATGGATGAAACAATGGGAAAAACAGACAAAAGGCAATCCTGCTACTGCCACAATAACAAAAGAATGACAGACAGCTAGATCACAAGATTGTTAGTAAGATGTATATTTTTCAAGTCAGAATAACCCTTCTATACAGTTTCCCAGCCCTTCCCCAACCCAGACTTATTTGTAGAATATAATTCAGAATAATTTTTAAGTATGGTGTGACTGTAGTGTCCAAGGGTTCACAATAACATGCGCTGTAATGAAGAACCTAGAAGTCTTCCTTTGCTGGTCATACCTCAGCAACCACTATCCTAGAGGTTTTGCAGAAGCAACTACTTTTACAACAAGGCCCATTATGGCATAATGAATGTATATGATCTGGTATGTAACTAAGCCATACAAAGCCACTCAGATCAAGTTTTAAGTTTTGTTATTGAAATAGGTTAAAAAGCTGCATCTATTTAAAACCTACATGGAAGAGTCTAGATTATCCCTGGGAAAAGTTGTTTCAAGGGTTTTTGGCGTCATAAAATAAAAATCAAGATTTTAGTGACATTTCTAGTTAAGAGAGATTTAAGGGGTAAGCCAATAAGCTTGTGTGTTTACACAAGTATTCAATACTAATATACATTCTCATTTCATAAAAAAGTATTTGCTTTAATGATTTGAGGTACAAGAAAAAAAAAGTCACAAATGTCTTGGTGCTGGCAGTGTCAGTGCCTCTATTGCCGGCAATAGATGCATTAACTTGGATGGGTAGGGAAGAAGTAGACTCCTAGTGTGATGGATGCTCAGAATTTACAAAATAAATTTATTTTAGGCCTCATTAAGCATACAAAGTGTCTAAGATTTCAAAGACCTAACTCAGGCAATTTCTTTGCCTTCCAAAGGAGGAATTTTTTTTGTGTTTTTTTCTAAAGAACGCAGCAAGAAAGTTAAGCGTTTCTACAAGGAAAGTCTGCTTTTTAACCTTAGGACAACTTGAAAACCTGCGTATATAAAAAATATAAAAGAATAAAGGAGTAAAGAGACTTGGAACTGTATGAGATTTGCCCCAATCAATCAAAAAGCAGAACGTCTACTTATGGGAACATAAAAAAAAAAAAAAGTAGAACAGCACAATATTCTGATTTACCTGTACGTATACTTAACTATTCATGTTATTGATAAACCTTTAGGACACTCAATTATATACCCAATAAAACACCATTAAGAGTCTTTAGAACTGTCCCTTCTTCCTTCTGAAGAAGGTGTTTCTATACACTAATTTCATCTAGTATCAGAGTATAGGAAACAGAATCCACAAGGTGCTTTAATTGATGAGACCTCAAGTGCTGTTTTCTTTTCTTTAAAAACCTTTTTTGTATAGTAAACAGTTCATGGGGACCACACACAAATACTACGACAGACGAGCTGTTATATTAAGTCTGTTGGCGGGACTTGATATTTAGTCCACTGGTAACGGAGGAAGGGAGTTTTACGACATGCTGGAACAGCGTACTGAAGGGGAGCCCATCTGTGTCAATACTTTGTCCAACCATTGTAGAGGTCCATTCAGATGAAGTTCAATCCAGCAAGGAGTGCTTGTTACTGTTTGCCGTCTGGAGAGGGAAGAGGGGAAAAAAAAAAATTAAATGAAACACCTTTGGGAGCCAACACAGAGGCTTCCACAGTGTCACATGTTCTTCATCAAGAGTAAGGAGACTTGAGTAGTATAATGATCTCTCTCGCAGAGTATCTATGCAAACATGTAGAAGATGCATCACTGAATTTTGGTGTTCAAGCTGATCTCATTACCTAAAATACAGTTCTACTCTAAATAAAGGTTTAAATAGGCATTATGGAGTTTGTCCCAACTGTCATATCAGAAGGCAAGTAGCTTTACTTGTATACAGGACTCTGTGTTCGTTTTTCAAAACTAGATAGTCCCTTCTTCACACGCGGTATCTACACAATTGTCCAACAGGATTTTCCCCCCTTCTCATAGGCTCAGTAGTATTAAAACATGCAGCGGATAAATCTGTACACTACAAGTGAAGCATAAGTAATCCCCTGGCTTTGAAGGTGCTGTAGAGGTACTTGTTTAAAACTTGGCCCACAGTTATTTGTGCACGAGTTATAGAAACCTTTAGCTCCGTTTGGCCAACACAGCAAAGCAGAACAGCAATAACACTTTCTAGAATAAGAAGAATCTGCCTTTTCAAGTGGCCTCAAAGAGAAAAACATAAGGAAGCTGTGCTCAATTTTATCAGAAACCAGTACACGGTAACAAACCATGTGGTTAGGCGGCCTAAGTGGTGTTATCTTACAGAAACAACAACTTCATATCTGATTTCCTGCCATTTGGTCATACTTCTACATTTGTTTTCCACTGTATTTTCTTCAATCATATAACCTCAATCAAAATTGTACGTTACCCTACCCTACAATACAGGGTTAACCATATTTTTCCACATAGCAAACATTTAATAAACACACCTACAAAAGCCACAATATTGCCAAAGTTTTACTGAGCTCTTAAAGCAGTCTACTCATAATATAGCCTTGATATAGAGGCCTGCTGAATCAAAGTTGTTTCCTCCTCTGTGCACTTCCTCCCCCAACCTCTCAAAGTGAGAATTTAATACTATCCTACTGGACATAACATACCTGAGAAGCCTCATCCTGCAGACAGTGGAGCCCATGCATGTTTCCCCAAGCTCATGATGTAGGAAATCACATCAGTTGCTAATTCAGTTCTGCTAAGCATTTGCAGCGGCCCCAAATTCAGTGTGGAGACATAATGCAATAAAGCCAGCTATTAGGCAAACAGTCCTCATGCCTCTCTATTTGGCACCAGAACTACTACCCTCAGTGTAAGTGGACAATCTTTTTTTCCCTACCTTTCTGTACAAAAAAGGAAGCAAAGATAAAATTGAAAACCACTGACCCAGTGGACTCAGGTGATTGTTATTTGTAGTTTCAAATTTTCTAAGACAGGCGTGGCCAACCTGCAGCACAAGTGCCACAAGTGGCATGGGCAGCCTGTGTGTGTGGCACGACAGATCAGCAAGGGGACAGACAGCACAGCAACAGACAGCGCTGGAAGCAGAAGGCAGAGCAGAAGATTGCATAGAGAACAGAATAGGGAACAGAAAGCAGAGCAGTAGACTGGGAAGAGGAAGGGGATCAGAGTGGCACTCGGAAAGGGTGCGGGGCTCATTTGCAGCACGCCGGCCAAAAAGGGTGGCCCCCCCACTCTTCTAAGACAAGAAGCAAGCCAGGGTTCATGCTCCATTAGGAGGTTCTGGACAGTTTTGATTGATACTGTACACTTGAATCCAAGGAAAATATCTCAAAAATCTTCTAGGAGAAGAACTAATGTAAATGTCTTGTTTCCTCAGCATGGGGCTCCCATTCACCACACTAAACAACAACCATCTTCCTGATCTGAACCACTGTTCTCTTAGTTTGTCTGTCCAAGGTATCAACCATTTAACTTTATGAGTCTGAAGAAGTACAGTCATTTAGCTGCCTTCTGAAATCTAGATAAATCTTCTATCCATAGAAGCGTACTGAGTGGAGACCTTATGTTCAATCTATCAAAAAGTGAGCTCTCTCTCACCAAGTTAAACAAATTTGCTACCATTTAGAGCAGGGATGCTCAATCCCTGGCCTGCAAGCCAGATGCAGCCCTCAGGGCTCCTCAAAGATCGGATACTTGGTGGGGGGAGCAGTGGCGGTTAACACTGCCACCTCTCCTTCATCACAAAAATTTCCAAGAGCCCTGGGCCAGACGACATGACTCTGCACCTGGGATCCGGCCTACAGCACAGGGGTGGGCGACAGGGTCCCATAAGGATGGCATGGAGCTGGAGCAGCAGGGCCTGAGCCTGTGCATGCAGAATGGCTTGGCCCAATCTAGAGTATATGGGGGCTGGGGCAGGGCAAGGGAGCCAATCTTGTGTGCATGGTGAAGGAGGGGGCAATGAAGCCTGATCCTACCTGGGCCTAGACTGAGGCAGATGGCAGAGCCCAATCCAGAGTGTGCGAAGCAGCTTGGCCTGGAGGGGTGGGGTGACAGCACCCAAGCCAGAGTGCACGAGGCTGGGGCTAAGGTGGCAGGCTCAATTCCCCATAAGGCCACAGCCAACATATAGCGTGGAGTTTGGGGGAGTCCCAATTAAGCATGCACCTGATTGGGCCCTGGCCATGAAGTCCGTAGAACCACCGTGCATCAGTCATCTACCCCACAGAGCAAAAAAGGTTGGGCACCATGGATCTAGAAAATACTTAAACACAGGCACTGGTTCAATTTTACCCTCCTAGAGAAGAAACATTTGATTGGCCTCATAAACAGGATCAATTCTATTCATGCATCTTGCCTCATATTTAAGTACCGCTGGTAAAGGTAGATAAAGACAAGAAATTTTTACTCGGGTACCTAAGCTATTAGCTTGTACCCAATTGATAATGGCTTGGTTTGTTAACGAAATATAGGATGGATTTGCTGAAACATTTCAAGGCAAAACGATGTTTCATTTATATTACATTTCATCCTGTTTATTACCTATTAGTAACCCAAAAGTATCAACATTTTGTCAAATATGTTGGGCGCCTACACATGAGCAGTGAGGCTGCTCCAACATGCTGTAATTACAGCACGTCAGAGCAGGCTTGGTTAATCCAGTCTGCTGGAGCATGGCAATTACTGCAGTGTCTCATGTATCAGCGTCCCCACGCTTAAAAATGACAGCAGGGGTGCTTTAACTAAAGCTCAAATAAACTTCAGTTTAAGCGCCCCAGCCGCCATTTTTAAGCATGGGGAGCTGATATAGGAGACACTCCGGATGCTTTAATAAGACTGGCTCTTGGAGCCACTCTAATTAAAGAGTATCCCCCCCTGCACCCATTTGGAGCACATGTATAAATGCACACAGATGCCAAGAAAGTAACCTACCTCCATTTCACTGTGTAATCACTGTGTTCTCCCATTTGTGTCTATTGCATCTAGCAAAACCTAACGGATCTATGAAGACCTGTCAGCCATCTAAAATTCAATTTTTTCCCTCTTGAGAAATATTCTTCTTTACTGTACTCCCTTCAATGCATTCCTTCTTACTGAAGCTTCAGAACTCACTATTTTAATCATATTCTTCTATCCTGATTTTAATATTTTATAGGGTTGAGTATTTATTAGATAGGTCAAATAAAGTTTGGTCAATTGACCAGTCAAATATCAGTCAAAAATTGTAAAAAAAATGCAAACAGAGTCAAATACTACACAGAAAAAGCATAAATTTTCCATTAAGAAACGTGTCCAAAAATTAGAAAAATCTTATTTCTGTCAAGAAAACTGTAAAACATTCACTCCCTATGAAACTGCTATAATCTTTGACTGGTCAAAAAAAAAAAATACAGAGTCAACTGACAACATTTAACCAGTCAGTTGACTGGTCTACCAGCCCTAATATTCTTCATTTTGTGCAAATGAATGCATATTCCTTTGGATGCAACTCCCTAACTCCTTAGGCTGCTGCTAGTTTTCTCATGTACTTCTTTCTGACAAAAAGAATTGACAGCTTATTCGACTATTAAAATTCCACATTTAAGTTACATTTTCACAAAATTGGCCTAATTTATCCAACAACGCAACCCTGCAACTTGAAATTTGGGTTTAAAAAACAGATGCGTTTCATGTGCTGATAAAGGAAGCAAGAAGTAGAGCCTATAATGGAACCTATGCGACATTAAAAAAAAAACAACCCAAAAACCTGAAATCTGAAAAAACTCCACTTTAAAAGGTAATCGCGCATTGCACAGATGTGCTCATGTTAACTCCTTATTCTTTCAGTTGGCAACTATGGGAGGCATGGAGACTTATTTTAAACAACCACACAACCCCTTCTCCATAGCTAAAAGTAATTTTCCTTTTTGACTGCTCAGGCAGTCAGTCAGATACTGCTGTTTTTGAATTCCCTTCCTAGACTTTGTAAACAGTGCTTATTTCTAAAACTAGAAATTTTCATTTGTGTTAATACGAATGGATGATTGGAATAAATTCAAATAAATGGAGAACAACTTTCCACTCACAAAACTGTTTTTAGCAGTTTTACTGTACAAAAACACAGAGTTATATCATATTCCTGCATCATTTTTCCACTATGAGTTCCAAAGTATTTCCCAACCCCCAAACGTGTGTTCTCCAGCTGTTTTATTCTGCATAATGCACTTAACTGAAAAATCACTCCAATTTTTAACATTGCATCCTGAGCAGCTCATTATACTCCCTACAGAGCAGCACTGAGACACAATGATTTTGTGTAGGTCTCACAAAAGGCAAGTAAATGTAGCACAGGATTCAAAAGCACCAGATGGAGGACTGAGTGATTCTAAAGCAACCAGCAAGATCTGATGACTGAAGCAGGAAACTCTACATACAAAAAGCACCCTACCATTAGCACACCAGGGAATTTCCTGCAATACCAAACACACTAGTTACAGGGGTTGGAAACCTTTTGCTGCCACAGGCTGCTGCTTGCAACCAACCCCCTGCCATAGGCTGCATCTCCTGGCAATCAACTGTAAAGGGAATAGAAAGAAAAAGGCAGATGTTGGGACCCTGGAGATGCCTCCCCTGCTGCAGCAGAGAATAAACTGAATGTGGCAGGCACAAGGACACCCCCCCCACTCCCCCACATTGATACCCCCACTACTGCTGTGGCTAGAGTGTGCTGGATCCCTTGATTTGCTGATCCAGTCTGGATTTGCAAGATCCAGTCTATTGATGAGCTGAATCTGGCCCCAGGCTGTAGGGTGCCAACCCCCACATTAGCATACTGACCCACAAGGATATTAGGAATCCCATGAAGGGATATGAGTAATCTCATTTTATCTACCACAAGAGCATATTTGTAACATTGACCACAGAATCACAGGCCTTTCAAGCTGGACAAGAGTAGTGCACTGTGGAACAGAGGAAGGGAAAGGAAACTCATTAAACCTAAATTTTAAGGGTGAAAAATAGCATTTCATACCTGTATTCAGCCCCCCATCCTTTAACAAAGCTCATTCTTATGGTACACATTCTAGTTAGCTGATACACTGCTTCAAAACCCTGATTCACAGACTGAGCCAGAAGAGCAGCAAATTCCTGGTTGTTAAAGATCTTCAGGTTGCATCCTATGAAAAGAAAGAGAAGTCTAAGGATATGCAGCTTCTGTTTACTTGCAATCGTTACAAAGAAGTTTGAAAGGTGAAGAGCCCCTGCTAGAAGTTACCAGGGATGCAACACACGCTTAAGTTTACAGGATTTCTCGATTAACACGACCTGCACAGCTCTCTTACCTGGTGGGATTTTGCACACAGTTGCAGGATGCCAGCCATATCTTTGATTGCAATTGGGGCTCTGAACAAAGATTGCGCTATCACTTAAGCACTCAGCAAAAACTTCACCGCCAATGTAATACAGACGCACGCCTCTTCCTGAAACAAAATTCATAGAAGTTTGGTTACAAAGTGACCTAAAGTGGTGGACGTAAAAAAAAACCCAAAAACTTCGTTATTTCACTAAGAATCAACTTCTTAGCTAGCACTACAAAGTTGATTGGTTTTCTATCTCTAGGACCATCACTTGTAGGCAGAGCAGAACGTGGCTAAGTAGAATTCATCTCCAAGAACATGTTGGATCGGAGAGCAATGCTATACAATATTTGTTAAGAATAAGAGAAAATTCTGCGACTTAATGGCTTGAGACCAAGAAATCAAAACCAAAGGTCTCGTCAATTCCTGAAGTGCTTTTCCACTTGAAGTCAGCCTTGGAATTGAAACAAGCAGCAGATCAAATGTTATTGCTGAATGTTGTACTGGTGTAAATACTACTGTTGGATATAAGGTAACATACATCCCAAGAAAAGGAGCACAGGTTGGTTACTTCACTCACAGTGCACATCCCCATTTCCCACTACATCCCCATTTCACCAACTACAAACACACCTTCACCCCTGCCCTACACCAGTGTTCCAGCACTTGCCTTGGCTCTTGCCACAAAACCATTCATTCCTGTTCACACAAATTCAAAAAACATCATTTAAATATATTATGCTTGTGAAAGTAAGATCCACAAATAGTTTCCATAGGCAAACTATTTCTAATAACTCTCTTTAAAGTTTTTTTTCCCCATTTACCATTTTGATTAAACAGTTTAATTATACAGAGTTCTCAATCTCTGAAGATTTACAATATAAAGCTGGTTTTGAATGTTTTAACACAGAAGAGGTTTCAATAAAAAGAAAAAAAAAAAAAAGAGTGGAAAATTTCTGATTACATTAAAGTCCTCCAAAAAGTTAATCCTCCTCCCCCCCACCCCCCTTTTCTCTCCCCACCACCACCCTTCTAGTAAAAGGTTACTGCCAAGATGATGTATTGGAGGAATGCTGCACATGCCAATAATTGTTCCAAAGAAAAATTTCATGTTCTTGTCAAATTAGTGCAGTTGGACTAGCCACAGCAATTCCACATTTTCTGGAACAGTGGCTCTCCAGGTCACATTACAAAAAAAGCAATAAAACACAATTCCATATTTTAGTATTTTTCTAAAAACATCACTGGTTTGACCTACTGCTCTCATTTAATATTTTCCAGCTATGCTCAAATTAAGCGATACAGAACTCAAAATTTGAAGTCACCCACATCATTTCAGTTAAGTGACATTACTCTAAAGAAATAATTATAAGACTATACTATACCTATGTGTCGTCTTGTCATTTCCACTGTGGCATTTCTGTTAACATTCGAGAGCAGGCCTAGACAGAATCTTTCTGAATTTGATGGGTCTGTAAAACCATCTACAGTCAGTGAAGGCTGTGACGCATGGAAGGTTTCTCCTACTCTCTGATTCAATTCGTAATACGCTATTGAACACCAGAATGCAGGCTCCGAATAAGTAACTGGCTGCAAATCTAGAAAAAGAAATAGAAAATTCCTATGATAAAGCATCCAGTGCTACAAAGAGACATGTATTAATGCAGAATAACTGAGACTGGCAATGGTTCATGAATAAGAACCTACCAAATTCACAAACCCTGACAGCCAATTACACAGTTATAACACAGCCGGAGTCCCTGATTTCATAGACATATCATGGCCAGGGCCACTATTTTTAAGATGGAGCAAAGTGGGCCCCCCTGACACCTCTGACTGGATGAGGGGCACTGCAAATCCTACCCTTCCCAGGCATTGACTGAAAGTCCTAGGCTCAGAAGTAGGCAAAATACAGCCTGTGAGTTGGATCCAACTTGCCAAGTGACTGGATCCGGCCTGCAGCTCCCCACGCGGCACTCCACATCGGGCCGTGCCTTGCCCACTCACCCTGGGGCAGCCTGTGCCATGCTCCTGCTGGCCCGAGCCCTGGCCAGAGCCCCAGCAGAAGCTGTGCAGTTCCCGGTGTGGGTGCAGCCAAGTGCTGCTCTACGCCCCCTGCCTCCAGCAGCAGCTCCTGCTTTTGATTTTCCCCCTGCCCCGCCATACAGCGCCAGGTGAGCAGTTGCAGGTGGACGGCTCCTACTCCAATGCGCGAGGCTCTGACTTCAGCTCTGGGTTCCCTTCTGCTGGAAGGTGGCTGGGATCTGGAGCCAGAGTTCCGTGCGCCTGCCGGGAGCAGCAGTGTGGTGGGGCAAGAGTGAGAGGAAGAGCTGCTGCTGGAGGCACAGGGAGCAGAGCAGCACCTGGCTGGTTGCAGCTGCACTGAGAACAGCCTGCCAGAAGCTGCTCCTGCTGCACCATGTCTTTCCAGGCAGGCGGGCAAGCAGCTTCAGTGGGGCTCTTGCCCCAGTGCCAGGGCTTCAGCTCTTGGCCGCCTTCCTGGGAGCTGAAGCCAGAGCCCCATGTGCAAGGGCAGAAGCAGCTTCCAGCAGGCTGTTCCCAGGGCAGCTCCAGCCAGCCGGGTGCTGCTCTACGACCCCTACCTCCAGCAGCAGCTCCTCCTTTTGTTCTTGCCCCACTCACCGTGCGGCTCCTGGCAGGCATGCGGGGCTCCAGATCCTGCACCCACCGCCTCCAGTGCTAGAACAGCACCTGACTGGGCTGCAAGCACTGGTGGGAGTGCAGTGCAGGCCACCCCAGTGCAAGTGGGCAGGATTCAGCCCCACGCTGAGTGGTGCGGGGCACTGTGGACCGCAGCACCCAGGGCAGCCCTGCCCTCCGCCCCCCAAAAAAGGGCAGGGACTTATGGTCCCAGCCTCTCCCATTTCACTACTGAACATTGCTCCCGCCCACATACAGACTCATAGGGAGTTTTGGCGAGTTTGGGGGGAGAGGGGTGGCAGTGCTGACCTGGGCCGTGACAGCTGATCAAAACTCCCTATGTGGCCCTTGGGCCCAAATAATTGCCCATCGCTACCCTAGCTGGAGCTGCCTGGCTTGTTAATTCAGTAATTATCACCCTCCTCAAGGGGCAGAGGGCAATAATTACTGAGTTAAACGGTTCTGGCCAGGCTTTTCCCTGCTCCCCCTCTCTCCTTCAGGAGACAGAGACAGGAACTTTTCCTGCCCCCCCCTTCAGGAGATGGCCAGTCTGCGTTTTTCCCCGCTTCGCTCCCTTCCCACTCTGCCTGCCCTTCTAGGAGACAGCTTTTTGCAAAGAATTTGCAAGAAGACTTTCCTCTCAGTAGCAACAGAAGAACCACCACAATGGATTGGGTAAGTTGTCTAGCTAATCACTCAGTGACAGGTGAGTAGGTAAGTAACACAAACTTCACAAAAGTATACAAGAAAATTCTATAGTAGTAGTTATGCAGGAGCTTGTCAACAGAAAATAGGTTCCTCTTCATGAGCCTACAATGAGTAAGAAGGTTAGCACATGCCCCAAAACACTAATTTTTAGGCCATTTTTTTAAAGATGCATTTGTTTCAACAGTTCTGAATATTCTCATTATCCTTATAAATGGATAATACCTCATTAATCCTTTTAGGTTCTTGGTCTAGTGGCAATAAGCTCTATGACCAAATATAGAGGGTGCAAAAGTACCCATCCGTCTTACATCCATTGTCTTCAACCTCATATTTCACCGGGGTTAATAGAAAGGTTTAAAAGAAGGTAAAACCATACATTTGCATACTTTATCATTATGTTTGCAGTTTCGAAGAACAATGGTTCCAGTTTTTCCATGACCATCATTATTCTCCACTTTCTCTGGACCCTGTAATTTTACTATATCCCTTGAGTCTGAAAAGCAAAACTGAACCTAATGTTGCAGATGAGGGCAGGGACACCCTCCCTCACTGGCCCATTATTCACTCTAGCCTTGAACATGCTGCTGAAAATAAAGACAAAGTAAAATTTTATCCACTCAAGCAATTGCCCACGCAGTCCCGTAGGGCTTAATTTGCAGCCCACAGACTCCCATCTGGCTACTGCTTCTCCTAGAGCTCAAGCTACAGCAGCTGCCATCTCTGGGCTCCGCCCTCCAGCTTCCACTTCCTGCCCACGTGATGTGTGGTCTCCAGCCACAAAGAAGTTGGGAAAGCCCTGTATTAGCTTTGAATTCTGTAAGGTCAAAAAAACAGGTGTTTTAGGGAAACCCCAATGTTGCCCTTGTGCAAATTTATCAAATTGGAAGCTTTGGGCCATATTAAAAGAAACGAAAGGAAAAAGCTGCTTCTTGATGCGCAAACTCCCAGACAAACTAGGATGATATGCGCTGACATGAAAAGAGCAGTCCCTCATTCTCCCTACTTCCAATTCCCTCTTACAATTTGGTATTTTAGTTCAGATTTCCCCTTCTAAGCTCTTTCTGGGATGAGGAAGTATTTGCATAGCCACACCCTCAGGATGAAGCAACTGGGTCATGGCACATCCCACAGGAAACCCTGCCTCTGAATGATACTTTTGCCTCAAAGCCCAGATGAAAGGATGAAGCAGACTGCATGCAAGTATTTGATCAACATGCCCTTTCCAGACTGTGGTCCTGTAAAGGTCAAACCTGCCTACAAGCTCATGCAGTGGTTCCTGTTATTCTGGGTTTTTGGAAGAAGCAGAGAGACTCTGTGTTCTCATTAAGCCTTTATGGTAAAAACTAGCCCCTGACCCAAAATGGTCAACTGACCACTTCCTGTGGATGACATCACTCTTTAGTAAAGGAATTAACCCTTACTACTACATCCCCCTTCCTCCGGGTTAACTTGCTACACACTTAGTTACAAAATGAACCTAAACAAAGCAAAAACTCTGGTAAGTATTTGTTTAGACCTGACTAATTCACAAGTCTAAGCTCTTTGGTGGAACTGAGGTGCAGCCAGACCTAGTGTGGTAAACACGTGGGATTTGGCAGAGATGTTCTCGATTCCTGCGGAGAAGACCACTAGCTGTCTCCACCCAGTATGAATGAGGGGTATCTGCCCTAGCCTGGATGGTGCCTTGGACCCCTGGCTCTGGGATCCAAACTTCCTGCTGGGGGGAAAGAGCAAGTAACATGTCTCGAAGCATGCTGTGTGTCATAGTTCTGTTTCTGGCAGTCCTTTATCTGTTTGTCTCTCTTGTGAAATGCCTGTGGATCAACAAGTTTTGGCACCAAGTCATTGCTCATACTTGGGAGGGTTGTACGGAGTTGACGACTCATAGGTAACTCAGGTAGACTCCACTCATGCTCCAATGGTGTTGAATAATAGATCAAGAGTGCCTTATAGAGATCTTCATTCTTGTGAAGCAAATCCTTCGCAGTCCGCACCGCACATTCTGCTTCTCCATTACTACAGGGAACATGTGGACTGCTGGTGACATACTGAAAGTCATACTGGGCTGCAAACTGCTTAAACATGGCTCCAGAAAATTGTGGGCCATTATCAGTTCTTAAAACTGAAGGCATGCCATAGAGTGCAAATATACTCTTCAATGCCATTAAAACTCTCTCTGTTGTGGTGCCCTGTAATTCCACCATCTCTAAGTAATGGGAATAATCCATAGCAATGAGGTAAACAGAACCCTTCCAGTGAATAAATCAGCCCCCAAATCTGCCATGGATGACCTGGTAAATCGGCATGGCTTCTCACATGGACTGGCTGGTGTCTGGCACAAACCTTACAATTGCCCACCCTGTTGTGTATATCATCACAGATGAAGGGCCACCATACTGCCTGGCAAGCCCTGGCTTGACACTTTGTAATGCCCTGGTGAGCATCATGAATCTTCTCTGGGATTTCCTGGCATAATGTGGAAGGTATCAGACCTCTACTGCGGAACATGACTAAGTCTCTGACAACATGGAGACTGAGTCTCTCTTGCTGGTACTTTTCTAGTTCACAGTCCTTGAATCTTACTTGAGGCCATCCTTCTAAGCAGTATTTCTTTATATACTGGCAAGAAGCAGCAGCTTCTAGAGCTTCCTGAGCTCTCGTTTGTAGTGAGGCAGATATGGGTATCCCATCTGCAGTAACGTCCACGTAAACAGGAATATCTCACTCCTGGCAGAGTTCCTCTGGAGACAGTGGAGTCTGTAATGGTGCCCTAGAAAGAGTATCAGCTGTTTGTACCTCTTTTCCTAGGATATGTGCTATGCTGTAGGTGAATTTCAGCATTCTAAGGTGAAATCGCTGGATTCTCGGTGGAAGTTCGTTGAGAAGTTTGTCTCCTAACAGAGACACAAGTGGCTTGTGAACAGTATGTACGTAAAAGTCAGGCCCACAAGGAAAGTTCTGAATCTCTCACCTGTCCATTCAACTGCTAGCGCTTCTTTTTCTATTTGCGCATATTGAGTTTCAGGTGGAGAAATTGCTCTTGACACAAAAGCAATAGGGGCCCAGTGGCCCACTTCCTGACATGGTTGTAACACTCCTCTGATCCCGTATGATGAAGCATCTGCTGCAATATGAGTTTCTTGTGTTGGATCGTATTGGGCCAGCTCATCAGGGATGAACTGAGTATAGATCTGATCTCACTGAAGGTAGATTGCTGTAGTGGTCCCCAGAGCCATATGTTCTTGTCACTTAAGAGACGTCTTAAAGGCTTTGTTATTGTTGCCAAGTTTGGCACAAAACGGCCCAAGTATGTGGCCATGCCTAAAAATCTGCATAGTTCGGGGACATCTTTGGGTTCTGGGAACCCCTTGATGGCTGCAACTTTCTATGGATCTGGATGGATCCCATGCGGTGTAATCCAATGCCCCACAAACATAAGTTGTGAAGTAGCAAAGGTGCACTTTTCATTAAGTGTAACTCCAGCTTCTTGGAGTTTTCTGAGCACTTCATCCACTCTTGCATTGTGTTGTGCCTTGGTGGTCCCAGAAATCAAAATATCATCAGCATGGTAAAGAACTCCTTTTAGGCCATCCAGTATCTGTCACATCCGAAACTGAAAGAATTCAGGAGCTGATGAGATTCCAAAAGGTAGCCATTTAAACTGGTAGTGTCCAAATGGGGTAATAAAAGTTGTTAGCTTGGATGCTTCAGTGGCTAGAGGAATCTGCCAGAACCCTGCCCGAGCATGCAATTTTGCAAAAACTTTGGCTCCTGCAAGTTGAGCCAAGGTGTGTTCCACAGAAGGAAGAACATGTCTTTCTCTGCCCACGTACTTGTTCAGCTATGTGAAGTCAACACACATCCTAATCTTACCATAAGGTTTTGGCACAACCACCATCCCAGAACACCAACGAGTAGGTTCTTCAATCTTTGTAATTACTCCCATTTCCTCCATACATGTTAGCTCTTCTTTAACTTTGGCCATTAGTGGCAGTGGTACCCATTTGGAGTAGTTAATGCATATAGACTGGCATCAGCTTTTAGGCATATCTGATATTCATCTGACATTTTTTCCAGATCAGAAAACAACGATGAGTATTTGGTTCTGTAGTACTGCTTGAAGGATTTCTGGTCCGCTATTTCATCTAGTCAATGGACAAGTTGCAGTGCCTCTATAGCCGGTAATCCAAGTAAAGGCACAGCAAGGTTACCAATCACAAGCTTCCTGGTCTATACATCTCTGCTTCAGTGTCATTTTGCATTAAAGGACCCCAGTACTTTGAGGGTATTGTCTCCTGGTCCCCATAACTGTTTAATAGGAGTAAAGCAATGCCCATCCCTATGTGGGCTGTAGTAAGAAACAGGGATAGCTGAGACTGCTGTTCCTAAATCTGTTTTAAATGGCACTGGCTGTCCATTGAGCTCAATTTCTGTCATGCAGACTCCTGGATCTGACGAAGACCCTGTAACTTCATCTGAAAGTACTGTGCAATCCTCTGCATCCTGTTCTGTGACTTTACAGACTCCGCTGGTGGAGTGACAGCAGAATTTCATCTGCCTGATCTCCCATAGAGTAGGTAAGAGTACTCATTTGGTAAGCTTCCGGATGTTTGTCCAGACCTGACACTTCCCTGAAGCGATTAAAACACATGATCCATAGAGGCCATGTTCCAGGGGATTGGAAATCAAATTGTTCTGGTGGTGCAACTCTGAGTGCCTGCATGGTCTCTGTAGCCAGCCTCAGTGCTGTGCTGGGCTCTGCTGCAGGGAGAGGTGTCCAGCCCTTCTCTGCGCTGTATTCAGCTGCTGCTAGAGTCAGATCCATCAGTTGGGAATCACTCGTTCGATTTCCTGTTGGTGGCAGGATTCGCCACTTATGACACCATGTGTTATTCTGGGTTTTTGGAAGAAGCAGGGAGACTCTGTGTTCTCATTAAGCCTTTATTGTAACAACTAACCTCTAGTCCAAAATGGTTGACTGACAACATCCTGTAGATGATATCACTCTTTAGTAAAGGAGTTAAACCCTTACTACTACAGTTTCTGCTTATTCCAACTCCAGCAACTCTATCCCTTGATTAAAGGTCAAGGTAGTTACAAGAAAAGGCAGTTATTATGGAATTCATTATTAAATGTATAATTAAATTTTCATCCCAAGAAGTCTGACTTTAGTTACCATTCGAGATCCAGCCATGATTCTGCTTCCCTCTTGATCACATTCTATATTTTTTGAAGTGAAAGCAAGAAAGAGATGGACTTTATAATGATAAACATACAACACACAATACAGCGAGTACTTAAGTGTTTGCAGCTTACCCAGGCTATGATTAACTGGGGAGAGAGTGCTGGGAGACAGCTCTGCTGGAGATCCTGTAGAAGCAGTACACAGATTATTATTTTAAAGCAAGAATGACAAATTACAGAAGGCCATGCCTCACCAGGGCTTAGCATTATTTTCAAATGTTATTCTTGAACTTACTACAAACACTTCAGACATGGCACTCCAGACTAAAACAGGCAGTTATCCTTATTCTGTGCCAAATAGATCGTGGGGCAAAATTCCTTCCTAACCTCAAATATGGCAATGGGTCTGACCCTGGGCAGAGGGACAAGACCCTCCAGCCAGGAACCTCTGGCTTTGGTCCCAGCAGGAGTACTGAGACAACACAGTCCAAGTCCCCAGCTTTGGCTGTAGCCAAAACGCAATGTGTCTGAGGGAGGCTTAAAAACACCCTGACATGTAGCAGGGGGGAAGGTGGCAGGGACAACCAGCAAAGCCCAGAAGAGGGGAAGGTGCAGTGGTGGGGAAAGACGGTGGCAGGGGCAACTAGCAAAGCCCACAAACATGGGAAATATTCATGATAGAACATAGACAAAGCTACACCTGGATCATCATTTACCTTATGTAAATGTCATTTGTTTTATATGCAGAAAACCAGAAGTCCTAGATTCCCAACTGGGGAGACAGGGGTATAAGCAAACTTCTCTGGCTGCAGCCAACCCGGCTCAGCCTGCAAGTCATGCTTTTCAGGATGAATGCCTGTCTATCGCCTCAAGTTTTAGATACAAGAGCTTAAAACAATGTAACTGTCTTATACAAGGGGACCATGGCCAGCATGATTTTGGATGAAGTGGTAGAGTCAGAAAATCCCTCATCTCACTGTGTCAGAAGATCCCATCTCAAAATCTCACCTTTGAACAGATGATGAAAAGATTAAAAAGCTTCACCTGTATCCATGCTTTGGTTCAACTGTTGGTCACTTGTTTCTCCATCTTCACTGATATATCCTGGAGGTGGCGTTTCTGTCAAGAGGAAAGTCTGTTAGCACAAAAAGTGAAGACACTTACAAGCATTTGGCTTTTCAGCCCTTACGGTCAACCCTACATATTCTTCAAACACTGATTTCAGACTGCACAGTGCAGGGTGCTCTTCACAGAAGGTGTGTTTTAGACACTTATGCATAATCCCCCCCCTTCCCTATACAACACATATGCATAATCCTGTCTCCCCTCCACCTGTTCAATAAGTGAAACACATGTAAAATGTAATATGCAGCCCTTATTTGCTGCACATACAAACATGTCTGCATGTTGCTTTCACAGCAGCCAGGTGCAGAATTTTGCTATGTTGACCGGCAGCTCTCACGTTTACTAAAGAAAGAAAGAAGCCCTTTGGGAACTTTTACTGGAAAAACCAGCTAATTAAGCTGATTCCATGAACTTGCTGTAACTATTCTCCGATCAAATGCCAGTTCCCTTCTAAGATGACAGACAATTTTAACTAGTTTCCTAAAACACCACAAAGCTTGTGCTTATTATCACCATTCCTTTTAGTGTTTTGGAGTACATTTTAAAAACAGACAGAAATAATTACATAACAAATTTAAGAGGGACGTTGATGCTAGAAGTTAGGTTTAATTTTAGAATAAGAGCTCAAAAACCCAAGGGACTACTGTATTCCCCTTTCTCCAATCCCCCAAAAGGAATTTGTTTCTCACATAATTAATGAGTTACCCTACAGCAGCTCTGGAGTTCATTTCCTTCGAAACATGAAAGTGGTTTGATGTAAAGACTCTATTATTGGCTTTTTCTGGTAAATTTACAAGCTAAAAAGATTATCTTTAGTGAACTATTATCAAAATGCTACGCTTATGGTTAACACTGTAATTCTTCTAAAATTAATTACAGAGTAGAAATTCAAAAGGAAAGGTTTTTTGGGCTAGATGTTAAAAATCAAAGCCATATACCAATCCAAAATTGTGTCTGGCAAGCAAGGCAACAAAACAAGGCCTCATGAGGGCAGTTAATTAAAAAAAAGTTAATGCAATTTGTGAAGTCATGTAAAGCTAATATATGTTAGAATTAGATCCATTATGAAACTTCCACAAATTACTGGTCTATCAGAAATAGATGTCCACCT